AGAGGTTGCAGTGAGCCAGGATTGTGCCATTGCACTCCAGCCTATGCAATAAGAGCAAAACTCTGTCTCAAATTAAAAAAAAAAGAAAAGAAAAAAAGAAAGAAAAAAAAAAAAGAATTGTGCATTTCGGCTGGGCACAGTGGCTCACACCTATAATCCCAGCACTTTGGGAGGCCAAGGCGGGTGGCCTCACCCGAGGTCAGGAGTTCAAGACTAGCCTGCCCAACACGGCAAAACCTCATCTCTACTAATAATACAAAAATTAGCTGGGCATGGTGGCACGCACCTATAATCCTAGCTACTCAGGAGGCTGAGGCAGGAGAATCACTTGAACTCGGGAGGCGGAGGTTGCAGTGAGCCGAGATCATGCCACTGCATTCCACCCTGGGTGATAAGAGTGAACTCTATCTCAAAAAAAAAAAAAAAATTGCACATGTCTCATTCTTCTTTAATGTTAGTTTTGAACCTTGCCCTCCACTCCAAGAGCCGTTAGATGCCTGGGCACGACCCAAACTCCCTTCTGCCACCAAATCCTCTCCCTTCCCCTCCCGCAGGACCAAAGGGATCCTAGATTTCCTCCCCTGCCCCCAGGTCGAGTACAATCAAGGCTGAAGCCCCCCCAAGCCTGCTCATCTAAACTATATGGTTGTCTTCTGAGATGTTGCAGACAAACCAGGAGGAGCCAGAGGAACACCGGAGAGGACTTGAGTGTGCATTTAACACACTTCCCACTTTTTGAAGCATTAGACACTGCTACCCACAACCTTGTCCCCCTGTTCATTCCTTCCTGTGGCTGCACCTACATAGGTAACACAATTAATTTGGGACTATGGCACGATATCCCACCTAGCCCATCACTTCCCTGTCCATCCTCAAACCTCAGCTTGTCCTCAGCTCCCGCATTTGCCTTGATACTTTCTCCTTGGGTTCCTGAAGTAGCAACCTCTGTCTTCCTCTCCCCTCTCCCCCTGACCAATCCATCCTCTTTTCACTCCTCCCCAGGAATTTTACCTTGAAGTCAGGAATAGCGAATTTGGTATTATAAGACAGGTTGGACTTGGAGGTTACAGTATTCATCCTCTCCAGAGCTTGCACATTTTCCTTATCTCCAGGGGCGGAAATTAACCAAAACTCCGACATGCTTCCAGTCTTCTCTTACCCAGTGACTGCCTAGAACCAGCACAAACATACACAAACAGAAACAGGAGGAGAGATGTGTCAGATATCCCTGCCTCACCACTCCCTATCCTCCAATTCATCCTTTCTAGGATCTGTGAGCTCCAAGAACATCTATTTGCAAAAGCAAAGCGCTTATCTCCACCTAGGCAGCCCTCAGGTGTTCAAGAAACTCCAGAGCTCCTTGGTCCCTGCAGTGGTTCTGGCTGGTTTTCAGGAGCAGAGGAGGAGGGAGAGGTTCCTTTCTTTCTCTCCACCTGGGTGAACAACCCCTATCAGGCATCATAAAACGGGAGGACAGTAAGCTGGAGGCGGACACCTTCTGGGGGAATATTTGTCTTCCTTCCATACCGCATCTTCTGGGATGCAGGATGGGGTGGAGGAAGGCGTGGGATGAGGGAGGGATTTTCACAACAGGCTACCAGGTCAAACCGCAGGTCAAACTGGCCAACCTTGTGATTGCTATTAGCTTTAAAAATAGACTTCAGAAGGATTTTAAAAAAATATATACATATATATAAGAAAAAAAAAGTAGTAGTGGGTGAGGGGAACTACTAAAGTCTTTTTCCACTAGGCGAGGTGCCCGCTCAGCAGAGCTGGATCCCTTGTCCGGCCTGGCGGGTGGTTTCGCGGCCGCGTCTGCGGCCTCTACGGTCGATTCGATTCGTGCTGCTCCTTCACAGGTGTCCACACCCGCACCTTTCCCCCTCGGCCGGGTTCCCCCTTTCCGCTGCCTCTCCGCCGCGTCTCCGGACGGCTGGGGGAAAGCAGGATAAGCTCTGAGGAGCCAGAGACACCTGGTGGAACCTCTTCCTTTCGGACTCCCGGTCCCGCTCCAATCCGAGGGGGTTTTGTTCTCTCCTAACCCCGCGCGGACCCAACCCAGCTCCTTTCCGCCTTGACTGCCCATGGCCTGGGGACGAACTGGTCCCCCGCAGCACCTGCGGAGATGCCACCTATCCGGCCGCGGGGGAGCG